GCCTTCTTTGGGAGTAGTTTTCTGCAGAAAGAGCAGTATTCCCACTTTTGTGTATTTTTTTGGTGGTCTAAGCCCTGTGGGCAAGGGCCCAGTATTCATATTTGGGTATAAAGAGCCATACGTACACTGGCTCCCAATAATTGGCTTTCTTAAGTAACATGCACATAATTGTGTGGGCAGATGTATGCAGTGTGCAAATGTCTGTGGCAATAAATACGTTGATTTTGATTGTAAATAACCAGTTACTCATCTTACTGGCCACTTGTAATCACCCAGCTGTAGCCGGGAGCGCCGCCAGCTTTTTTGCCACCCTAGGCGGCGTAAGGTCCCACCCCTGACAGAGGCGGCGGAAGATCCCGCCCCCGAAATACCGACGACGACCAGGGCGGCCGACGATCCGGTCGCCACCCCCCAAATGTTAGCGCCCTAAGCAACCGCCTAGGTCACCTGACGGGTTGCGCCGGCCCTGGCTGTAGCTGCACAGTTGTAGAAATTCCATGCACAGAGCAGGAATCCAGTTCTTAAAAGCTTGTGTGACTTGCTTGAGATGGGCAGCCAGGAACAGGAGGGATTTAGTTGTAGATCTCTATGAAGCTTTAATATGATGCGTCTTCTTGGCTCACGCTGCCCTGACTTGGAGCTGCATGTACTGGATTTTGGAGTGTGCAGCAGATATGTTGAGAGACTGTATGAAATCCAAAACCTTATTTGACACTTTTCTTAGCATAAATTGCCAAGTTAATTGAGCAAACATTTGAATGAACCCTTCTCTCACATGAGTGAGTATTAAATTGTCATTTAATACTTAAGCAGGGTTGTATTTTTAGTTTTGTGCAGAGGAGGACTCTTCTCTTGTGCTGAGCAACTTAAAAACATTTATATCTCTATAAGGACATAATGTGTGGTACCTTACTGCAGAAATAGCAGAGGCACACTGGCATTTCGCAGTCTCACACGTTAGTGATTGTATGTTAAAACTCTGATTAAAAATAAGGCTTTTTTATAAAAGCCACCTTCCTTTCTAGTATCCAGTATTTATCGAAAGCCTAATTAACTCCTGTAATTAGGCAAAAGGGAATTCTTTAAGACTACTTCTGTTGAAACACTTTCAAATAAGGGCCATTGTTTACTGCCCACTCTTTCCTGTTTTCTCTCACACATTGTACAGCTAGCTTCTTTCTTCCTCATATCTAATATAGGCATATGTAAAAACATCTAAACAAGCCACTGTATACTGCATAAGATAAATCCTTTCCCCTACACAAGCCATACAAATGTGGTGTGCAAGAGATTTTCTTCACATTTCTAAGAACTCCTCAGTGCCAACTGGCAAAGGGTTCACTGTTCTGTAACAGTGACTCCTGACAGGTAACAAACTCACTACACCCAATAAATTTCTTTCATAGTAGTTATCCAAAGAGGGCCAAGTGAGAGCTCTAATAAAAGCTTGTCATACTGATCCTCATAATCATTGTGAGATGTATGTACTGATAACATTTAAGGAGCGCTGTGTGTGTGTGTGTGTGTGTGTGTGTGTGTGTGTATATATATATATATATATATATGTGTGTGTGTGTATATATATAGAGAGAGAGAGAGAGAGATTTTAAGGTCTGAATCAAAGCAGAGTTGACAAGGAGGTTTTGACCAGATAAAGGATGCATATTCACCTGTCTGCCTTGGTTCATGTGTAAAATAAGGATTGTAAGCCTATTTGCATATGACGTCAGCATGAGGATATGAAGGCAGCATGAAGTCAGCACCTAATTTCCCTGTAAGCTGTGCGGCCGTGCAGCACCCTGTTTAGCGCCACGCAGACACTCAGGGAACCCGCCGGGGAAGGGGCAGCCTGAACCCAGCCACGGCCTGGGCCTGTCAGGGCCAGGGAGCCCCTCCCCCGGCCCGGACTGGCCAGGGGAAGGGGCACCTCTCCCGGGGCCCCAGCCCCAGAGCTGCCGTGGTGGGGGGAGGCACCTCTTTCCCCCTCCGCGCCCCCCCCCCGTCAGCCCAGGTGCTGCTGCAGGGAGAGAGAGGTGGGAGGTGTCCTCTCTCCCCACCTAAGCACCCTCCTGCACCCCAAACCCCTCATCCCTTGCCCCACCCCAGAGCCTGCACCCCCCCAGCCCGAGCCCTCACCCCCTGCACCCCAACCCTCTGCCCCAGCCCTGAGCCCCTCAGTCCCGGCCCCACCCCAGAGCCTGCACCCCCAGCAGGAGCCCTCACCCCCTGCACTCCAACCCTCTGCCCCAGCCCTGAGGCCCCCCCGACACTCCAAACCCCTCAGCCTCACCCCCACCACATGAATTTTAGTATGTGCCCCAATATAAAGGTGATGTGTCACACATCACCTCCATATTGGTGCACATAACAAAATTAATTACACGTGTAGGGGGGAAATTAGAGGGAACACTGGTCAGCACCCCAGGAATAAACCACAGGGGTCATCTTGACCCTAGGGACAAAATAACTAACTCTGGGGATACAATGAGGCAAAAGAACTCCTCTCTGTGCTTCATCGAGGAAGCAAAAGGGACAGCACTTTCATGAATGCAGTAAGAGGAATCCCAACTTTGTTGGTTGGGGACTCTGGGTGACTGCGTTAGGTGAGAAACTACTTTAGACAAAGGTTTTAGCATGTTAAAGTTTAGATTCTGGGAAGCACTTTATACTTTTTTGTTTTACATGTAAGAATTTGTTCCTATCATCATCCTTATTCATGATCTCTTAAATCTTAGCTTTTGATGATAATCTTATGATTGTTTTCACTGTAGATATATCTCAGTGCTGTGATGTTATATTGGTGCTAATTGTCAGTTGACTCAAACAAGCTGGTGTATGCACTGTTTCCTTGTAATTTCTGAGAGTCTTGACACTGCAGGGGAATGCTTCAAGGCAGCTCGGGGATTGGGGTACACCTATTGTTGTCCTGCAAGGCAAAGTAAGGGCTGGCAGAGCACAGAGGAGATTGTTTGGGTAGCAAACAGACTGGTGGTGTCAGGGAGCTGACATCAAGTGGAACACAAGCAGATCTTCCTTTCGTTGGAGGCAAGGGGGTTAAAAGGTGACTCTAAGTCCTGAGCACCCCGATTTCCTATTGCATTAACATAAAGTTTGATAGTCTGTCCCGTTACGTGCTATTTTGCTGCATGCTGGTCTTCTTGGAACTCATTTTTCTACAGTCTTGGATATGCCATTCTGAAATTGTTTGATCAGTGACTTTTATCTGGTTGGAGATTGGTCCTATTTCTTGCAAAAGCGGTGTTTCCAAACTTCTTGGAATGAAGTTGGCTACACCAGCCTCATTTTGGTGGAGCTACTTTCCATTGGAAATCTCCCTTCTCTGTCAATATTCTTTTTCTCCTTCCCTTCTTCCATTGTATGCCATTGCTTATGTCTTTTCACTTAGGGCCTGGCCCTGCAGCCACTACTCAAGTGAGTGATTTCGTTGACTTCAAGGATCAAGCCCTTAATTTTAAAGTCCTCATGATAAGGACCCTGTTGTCCTTGTATATCTGTATTGCACTGTATATGTCTTTTGGACCATATAAATATTTATTCCATTCACCTGGTGGTTCCTAGTTTGTGAGCAACTTATTCATCCTGGACTCTAAATCAGCATGTCCCTGTCTCCCAAATGGTTCAAAGTGGAGTCTATCAGAACTGTGATTCTGTCAGCCGACTTACGAGATGCTTACCTCCACAGGCTGACAGCCAATGCTAAAAATATCTAGGATTTTCTCTGAGTTGTATCTGCACACTATCATTGGGCCTACCATCAGATCCCTGCATTTTCATGAAGCTGATGATGTTGGTTACATCCTGTTTAAGAAAATGGAGCCACTAAACCTTATCTCTTCTCTCCCCCCTGCCTCCACCTTTGCCCCATGGTAACCCGGTGACATCTGAGTCAGGAGATAGTGGAGCTTAGTTTCTTCCCTTCCTCTGGCTAGTCTGTGATAGAATAGGATTAACTGAAAGAACATCTGTCACAAGTGAAAGTCTTAAACATTCAGTTTGCACTACACACAGTACTTACTTTGCTTGTAGTTTTGTGTCTGGGGGTAACTTTTTCCATGTTCAAGTATGGAGGTTTGTTATGGGTTTATTTTAGCCCGTCACTTTAGAAAAGGAATGCAAATTGTGATTAGCACTTCCTCCTTCTTGTTTACAAGAGAGACCTGGGAATGAAGAACTAGACTTGCAACATCAAACAAGCAAAGAGATTATCAAAAAGAGAAGGCAGAACCACATAAAACACATAGTGTTATGTCATAACTAATAGAGATGTTCAATTAAATGTATTTTTCTGTCTTGTCTGCCAAAATTTGCTATTGATCTTTGGCTGCTTTTAATTTGTCTGTAGACAATAACAGCAAAAGTAATCCCATTATTTTTAGGGAGATCTAAGGCATAGCACTACTGTCAGATTATAGGTTTTAAAGAGCAAAACATTGAGAAGAAATACTTTAGGAAGGTGTTAATAATGTCATAATATCTTTATAGTTTATTATAAGCATGATCTTGACCATTCTTCTACCTTTTAGGTGGAAGGGGAAGAGGCAGAAGTCTCCTCTCCCCAGAAAATTTCTCATGTGTAGTCCCTGTCCAGAAGATAAGTTTTTTTTGATTAAACTCTTTTGAATTGAGTCTTTTAATCACCACCTCTTAAAAGTTGTTCTTTTCAGACTTTGAGTCTGTTTTTCAACAGGCCTATAATACTGGTTCCTATTTCTGACAACACTAACAGTTAAAAAGTATGCTTACAAGAAATGGCAATGGGTTATCCTAAATGAAATGTAGTGTGGCAAGAAAACATGCAAACTGGTTCAGCCATACCATGTGCAGACTCTTCCAATGCGATAACTTTTTTTTTGATTGCTAGAGGTGTTTAGCAGTGTTTTTGTCTCTGTAACACCAAGGATGCTGTTATATTCCATGCACAGACTTACAAAAGATTGTATACTTCATTTATGTGACTACTTCTATCTTTTTTCCTGCAGCTGTTGGCACTTGACAACTGTAGATAACCAAGACGATGGCTGCCAGCAAGAACAAGAACCAGAGTTCTATGGCCCTGCACAAAGTAATCATGGTTGGCAGTGGAGGTGTGGGCAAATCAGCACTTACACTTCAGTTCATGTATGATGAGGTAAGAAGAGTTAGCACAAATTGCTTGTTAAGCTCCAAGAATAATTGACAGTCATTCTGCTGGATTTTCCTTGTGCAATGAGTAAAATTCTTCTAAAGATGTTTGGCACATCAAGAAAGTCTGATGCTGTTTATCCAGGGATTAAATGCAGTTTCCGTAAGTTTTAAAGACAAAGTGCAAAGAGTGCATTGAATAGGGAATGCAGGATATTTAAGCAGACATTCAGTCCACCACACTGTCTCAAGTGGTGTTGGTGCAGTTAAACTGTGAGGTTTTTTGAGACAAGTTAGGATTCAAGTAGAAGTCAGCATTCTTCTTCTTACCTGTTTTTGAGGCAGATGTTGATGAAGAAACAATACAAAGAAGATTGCAGGCTCCCTTTATGCTAGTTCTTTAGTACTAATATACTGAGCTCAAGCCTGCTTTCAGGTTGCAGATGGATGTCTTGTAAATCAGTTTGTTCTGTAGCTAATTTTGCAAGGTGTACTCAGGGAAGTCATGTGCATCTGTTAAAAGGCAGGATCACAACTCCAGTGAATATGTGAAAAATGCAATCTATAGTTCTGTTTTAAATAGCCTATGCCCCTACTCTAGGCACTCTGACAACTCTTTGTGATAACAGTCATTACAAGAAAAAAACACACACTAAAATACACCCCACTAAAAAACCCCAAGAGGTATATCAATGGATGGTCTTGGGAGTCTGTCCTAAAGATCAACAGATGTGGACTATTTTGTACCAATTTAGGGGAGTAAGTTCCAGAATCAAGCTGCTCTCATAGTAAACATTCTGGTGGCAACTCTTTCTCTTTCTCTATGTGTAGTGACCCCGGCTGGAGCACCTCAGACCACAGTTGGTACAAAGATGTGCCTGGAACAGTATGGTTGCCTGGCACTGCGTATCTGAGTCGCTTATGTTTTTGTAGATCGGAACCAGTACCGTAAACCCCACCTAGAATTCATTCACCATTTAGTGCAGATTACAGAGCACTGATGTACGTACTCATAACAATATGCATCACTTAATAGTTGAGCTGCTGTGTTCTGCACCTGCTTCAGCTTCTGAATTGATTTAAGGTGTATCTCCATGCAGAGGGCAGTTCAGCATTCTAACTGTGAGGTGACAAAGACTATAACCGTACCAGGGTCTACATCTGAGAGAAGGTCAGAACTTCTTGAGCTATATCAGTTTACACTGGCTGAGCATCTAGCCCTTAGCTTATTGTGGAATAAACTCATAGTTTACCAGTTACCATGTAGCAATGGCTTCTTCTGTTGGCTACATTCTGTTGGCATGCAGACTCTGAATTGGCTCAATGGTATAAAATTACAAGTCCTCTCGCTCTCTTTCATAGTTAAAAATACTAAAGCCATAAAACTGGCATTAAATAGTTGACAGTGATTAAAATAAAAAGGCCCTTCGGGAGTATATATACAGCTTACAATGGCCATTAAAAGTGGAGAGGAATGCGCTGAAGCAAATATCCAAAGGGAGGAGTGCCACATCTGAAAAAGTCAGGGGTACTGTAGATTTTATTCTCCCCCCCCTCCTTTCTTATGTTCCTCAGTTTGTAGAAGACTATGAACCTACGAAGGCTGACAGTTATAGAAAGAAAGTAGTTCTGGATGGGGATGAATTCCAGATAGACATTCTGGATACAGCGGGACAGGAGGATTATGCAGCTATTCGAGACAACTACTTCCGCAGTGGGGAGGGGTTTCTCCTTGTCTTCTCAATAACCGAATACGAATCCTTTACAGCAACAGCAGAGTTAAGGTAAGCACAGTAGTTGGATGGGGGGGGGGGATTCAATTCCTCAAGCTGCTTTTTGATATTTTGCATGTATTTACATAGATCTGAGTAGGTTTGATAACATGAATATGGAATGTTTGTTTGAAGTTCAGTAATGGGTAAAGGAATGAAAGGTAAACTTACGGCTCCTGATTTGCATAAACAAACAGAACATTGAGTGTAAGACATCAGAAATCTTGTATCTGAGCCAACCCATTTTCCCTATTTAACTTCAGTTTCTATATTAGGACAGTAAGCAACTCTTCACAATTCTTTAATTTTGGTTTGTGTAATTCTCCATTTTCCCCTGCCAAGTAGCTTGAAAATGTTTTTCTTTTGTCTTCTGTACTAGTTCAAATACTTGGGCAAGTTTTTCACAGCCGGCAGATGGCTTAGTGTTCAGTCTCTATTTGCCACTCTCTTCCCCATTCCCCACATACACACACTACAAAAGAGATATAACCATCTCTGATGTCAGTTGTATCCCAAAGACATGCTGCCCAAAGGAAAGCAAAACAGGCCTAGTAGTCTTTGCACATGTCTGTGCATGCAGACATTGTAACAGCTTGCATGAAGTGCCAGTGGCCTTGTCAAGAGGTGCAGAGCTGGGTCCCATGCTGGGGTAGGCACGTTCAGATGCAGTGGGGCCTGGCACTTTTTCCACAAACTGTAGTGCTGTAGATTCTGAAGAAGGGGCTTCTCCTGAGGAGTCCATCCAAGGCAAGAGGTCACCCATAGCATCATTCCCGGGAAGGACTCCTCATGCCACTTTCAAGCATTTTTTTCCATTCCTCCTTTCAACAACACTCCTTCAGACTCTAACTGTCTCACCTCCATGTACCCATGGTAGCCCTCCTAACTCTTCCCTATCCACTGTCTCTGGTTTTTGGTACCTGGCTCTCCCTTTTCGAACAATCAGCTACTCTTATCCTTCAGTGTTCAAGTCACTGACATCCTATGCATCCCTCTTAGTCTATCTGCCTGTTTTCTTGCCCTCGCTTGCTTGCAAGTCCATTAACAAACAGTTAATTCAAGCAAGTTCCTCTGATCCATGGACCTGCAAAATGTACATACACATTGATACTCTGTACCTCAAAATATATTCACCACTGTGATATTGTGATATGTTTTGAACAATGTATGCCTTGAGAGGGTATTTAAAAAGTCTTGATCTATTGAACATTAATTCCTGTTGAATTGTATGTGAAGTTATGAAGTATTACTATATATTTGTTACTGAAATATGTGATAAGTGGGAAATGCCCACAGCCAGCCATTTAGTGGCAACAAAGGAGCAACTAACACTGACAAAACAGATTTGCATCAAGATTGGCTAGACAGGTGTTGATGGCCCATTAAGGAGAATCCAACTCTCCCAGTGGCCCTCTGAGACTCCTCAGAGGGCACATACAGAATGGACTAAGCCCTGTGACACAGCAAGGGTCTTTCTAGCAGCTGGAAGAAAGTATAAAAGAGGACAGTGACCTCACCACTTGTCCTCTCTCCTCCCCATCTCAACACCTGGAAGATCAGTTGGAAGACAAAAACTTTGAACTAGGGAGATTGGTCCCAGGCTGAGAAGAACATTCAGCCTGTGTATTAACTGTAAACTGCCTGGAACATTCAGTGGGTTGAGAGAAACTGAATGATTGAAATCTTACTCAGTCTGATAAATTGAGGATTTAGATTGCAATTTTATTTTTATTTCTTATGTAACCAACTTTGACCTCTGTGCCTAATCTCTTTCTGTAGTTAATAAACTTATTTTAATGCTTTATCCTTACCAGTGAATTTGTCTAAAGTGCTTGGGGAATCTGCTCAGATTACGTAGGCTGGGTGCATGTTCACTATTCTTTGACGAAGTGGCAAACTGCCGTATATACTCGTTCATTAGCCCGTTGATTTATAAGCCGACCCCCCCAAGATGGTTAGGTAAAAATAGCAAAAAACTGTATGACCCTTTCATAAGCCGACCCTATATTTCAGGGGTTGGCAAACTTTGGCTCCTGGCCCGTTAGGGTAAGCCGCTGGCGGGCCTGGACGTTTTGTTTACCTGGAGCATTCACAGGCCTGGAGCCCCTTAGCTCCCAGTGTCCGCGGTTTGCCATTCCCAGCCAATGGGAGCTGTGGGAAGTGGCGTGCCACTTCCTGCAGCTCCCATTGGCTGGGAACGGCGAACCGCGGACACTGATAGCTGAGGGGCTCTATGCCTGCAGACGCTCCAGGTAAACAAAATGACAATGTATTAGATATTCAATTCTATGATTCCATAGAGTTTAAAATCATCAAATTTTGGTGTAGACCCGTTTATAAGCCAGCCCCCGCTGTTTGATGCGTCACCAAAAATATTCGGCTTATGAATGAGTATATACGGTAATTAATGAGCTTGCATTGTTCAAGAGAATGTCTTGAGCAGTGCAGGATGGTACATCACTATAGTGCAAGAACATAGAACAGCCATACTGGGTCAGACCAAAGGTCCATCTAGCCCAGTATCCTGTCTTCTGATAGTGGCCAATGCCAGGTGCCCTGGCAGGAATGAACAGAATAGGTAATCATCAAGTGATCCATTCTCTGTTGCCCATTTCCAGCTTCTGGCAAACACGCTGGGGGGAATTAGCTAGATTCTACCTGTATATAATTCATGTATGATTTAGAGAGCATTCCAGCTGGGTGTGTGTAGGCCCTCTTTCTACTACATCTGCCTATCCTATTAACAGATACTCTTCGTTGACAGTGTATATGCTACAGTAATGGCACTGTTAATCTTCATTCTGACACCTCATTTTCCTCTGAAAAGTCTCACTGCCTTGATCTAAAGACCTGTTTATAGGCCATTTTGTTTCAGCTAGTGTCCATCATCCCTGAATCACTCATGGTCCAAGCATCCAGCCAAAGTAACACTCCACCCCTGGAGTGCAGAGTTGAGATGAGGGCACCCATACCATACCATCGATCTGTGAACTTGCTTGTGTTCCCACCCTGGGATGTGCTGTGCAAGCCCAGAAGATCACATTAAAGAGGAGGCCATGATTATTGAACATGTCCATGGACAGTCTAGTTCAGCTGTTATCAACCGTATTAATGACAACACGGTAGGATTTATCCTTACAGCCTGACAGTTGTGTGCATGAGCCTGAAGACGAGGTCTGGCAGACAAAGATACCAGCTATATTATAGTCTAGGCAATAATTAGTTTCACAGGAGTACTTGAAGAGCCTTCTCTCTCTGGTGTGATAAGGCAAAGGTAGACCCTGTGGTCCTGGTATCCTGGAATTTTTTCAAGCTGGGCTAACTGTACCAACTAAACCAAAGTCACAGAATTCAGAGAAAAGGTAAATTCAAAACCTAATAGGATACTGAGGTTTCTGAAAGCCATGGAAATCTGAGCCCATGAAGGCAACACCGTCTTCTGCCCTTGTTCCTTCTTGGGACTTTGATCTTGGTGTTTAATTCTCTTGCGCCCCTTCCAGCTGAGCCTAGGAAAAGGATTATGTTGCATTTTTTTTATTACAGAATTTGTTTTTCATCACAAAATGATTGGCCAGAAGGAGGCTTGGGGATAGGATTAAGGGTAAAAACAGGGCTGGAGATGACAGACAAGACGTTCTATCAAATGTTATCGGGAGACCCATTGACTTCAATAGGAGTCGGATCAGGCAAATTATGAACTTAGCTAATGGTAGTGTTTAATTGGGCTGGTAACTGAAAGATTCTGATAACCCCCATATTTTCAAATTGAGGGAGTTTTCCCCTTTCACCATTGGAAAGAAGGATTACCTACCCATCTCATTGGCCAAAACACAGAACAAATTTAAATCTTATGCTAACAACCACTTAACTTCTTTAATCTTTTGAGTTTTTGCAAATTGTATAGAAAAGCCCTGACATGACAAAATTCATGTAAATGATTATTAGATTTTCTGTAATCAGATTCTTTATCACAGCTATTTCAAGTCAGGCTAGAAATCCTGCTGATATTCAGATTTTGATCGTTAATTTGTATATTTGCTGTTTTGTCATTTTACCTGCCTGTGTGACTCTCAAAAGCTTAACAGTTAGTATCTTGTGATTCTAATAGCTGGTTGTGTTTAAGTGCAGAATTTTTCAGTTTTGTAGAACATTGTGCACTTGAAGTGACCCTAATTGAAGCATCTTTTAAATACAATCCGCTATTAATGGGAAATAAACTGCAAGCAGCTACTTGTATTAGCGTCTCTGCCTAATCTTGATAGATTGGATATTGTATTAATTTGATTGCATGAAAAAACACGTTGGTGTGTGTTTATTATATATGTTTCATCACATAAGGAAATGATATGAAAAATGAGCTAAAAAGAACTATACACTTCATTTCTTAGAAGAATAAAGAGACTGCAAGTTGACGCCAGCATATGCTTCTAACACAAGATTTCCTAGTTTTGGCAGGAATTCGTAACTAACTAGTTTCCTGGATGTTTACACAATATCTTTGAAAATTATGCTGCTTGCTATTGTCTTAAGCTCTTCTTTTTATTAATTAAAAAGGTTAGATGTTTCTTAAAGTAAATCAGCTTGAAGTGGTAACAAAAGATGCCTTCAGATATCGAGCTGTAACCTCCCATACATATTTCATTGGGCCTTAAAGTGCTCTAGTCAGTCTTTTAGTAGAAGCAAACATACTTCCTTGTGACGGAAGGGATAGCTGTGTGGTTAGGTCACAGGTCCTTGAGCCAGGGAGCAGGGTTTTGCTTTTCACAATGTGACCTTCCACAAATCCTTGAACTCCCCACCCCCTCTGTTTTCCCTTCTGTAAAATGGGGATACTACCCAATTCAGAAGGAGACTTACCTATTTATAAAGCCTTCTGAGATCCACCAGTGGAAGGTGCTATAGAAATGTAAAATGGTATTTTTTTTATATAAAGTTTTTAATTTATTCTTCTATTTGTGTAGGATGGAAAAATAAAAATATACATTAGATGTCTGACAGATCTTACTAATCCTATCACAATTTTTCTGTTTAGCACTTGTCTATACAAAGACAGTGCATGGCAAGCCGGGGTGTAAATCTAGAGCGCTCTAGTCTGCTGCGCATTGAGTTGCTGTGTGGACGAGCCCTTAGATTTATCAACCAAATGAGTATAAATATATTGTACAAGACTTTTTTTGTTTCAAAAGCCATTTGTACTCCACTATAGAAGCTCTCCTTTATTGGAGTCAGAGGAGGTGACAGATATGGTGTTCAGCTACACACAGCAAAATGTAACCTTTTCCAAGTGCTGCTTCCTATGCGTATCCCGCATGCAACTGAGCCTGGAAATCCTTGCAACTAGTGTCCATTGGTCCACTCCTGTGCTCTGGATCTCCTTGTGCTCACTACCGAGCGTATATAAGGAGGTGCGGGCTGACTGCCTCTCCAATTGCTTCTTGCCACTGCATGTGCTGAGTCGGAATCCTCTGTGTCCGGAGTTATCCCTGCATTGTCTTCATCTCTGTAAATATAATTGTATATAGTTTTAGGTTTTCATAGTGTTTTTATAGCATCTGCAGAGTTAGCTTAGTTTCTCCTCCCCAGGGATCATCTCTGTCCCCACTTTCAGGAAAAGGACTTTTCCTAGAATCTCAGGATTTAAACACTGCATCTCCTGTCCTCACTCCTTCTCAGTCAGCAATGACACCAGTGCTGCCTTTACTGCCTTGGGGAGGCGCATATCCCTGCCAAGTGCAGGATTTGTCACTCCTCCTCACCCCAGGCCCAAGAGGGATGAGGGTTCTGACTGAGAGAATACCTCATGGAGAAAGCCGGGAGATCCTCCTGTATACTGGCAGCAAACCTCTAGCAGCGTGTCTGTGAGCACAAGCTCTGCAGCAGAGGCTAGAGGAGACAAAGACCCATTACCTCTAACTTCTCTTGAGAGTAAGGAACACTCTAGACACACAAACTGATTCCCCTTTAAGTCTGCTTCCAAGAGAAGGTTTCCCTCTCTAACGCCATCCAAGTTGGGTGAGTCTTCACATACAAGCCCCAAGGACTTAGGTCTACCTAAGCCTACCAACCACAAAAAGAAAGCAGGGAGCATGTAGGAGCAAAGCTTCAACAGTTCCAGCCCCCATACTGACACCAGTGCCAACCGGGATTTCTGCCAAAGCGAAGGATCAGCATCCGCCATTGACAGATAGAAGTTCCAGGAAGGACTCTCTCTAATGACACCGGCCAGGCCCCATAAGGATCTGCCAACTACTAAGTTATTGTGGCACAGAATCTGGCATAACCAGTAACCGGGACCCCTCATAATCTGGGACAGGCTGAGACATATACTACCCCAAGGGGATATCATCTTCTTCCCAGACCCACAATCTCCTTTACTTTCAGACCCAGTTCTTCTGAGGAATGTTCTAACCCCAGAAGAGGATACTACTGGAAGGAGGAGGATGTTATCTCACCCACCCTTCTCTCTCTAATGTTCGGATAATGTACATAACCTGACTGTCTTCTATATAAATAAACAAGGCGGGGTTAAGGCTCCTCCCACTGTGCATAGAGATGGTCAACTTATGGAATTGGTGTATCCAAAATCACTGTAACGTACCTACCTGGTGCTCAGACACTTTTTCACCAATCATGAGTGGGATTTACACAATGCAGTGCTGGGCAGCATTTTCCCCTCAGTGGGGAACACCATCTTGGGAGCTATTCACCTCACAGAAAAACAAGAAGCTCAATGTACATTGTACCAGAGCAGTTCAAGGTCTGGACTCCAGGCGCGATGCCCTTCTCCTGTCCTGGACAGGCTACATGAGATACACCTTCCCTGCAATCCCACTATTACCCCAGATTCTCTAGAAGATTTGTCACAACAAAACACAAGTCATTCTCATCTGACCCAATTAGCCCAGACAATTCTGGTTTCTGGACCCTGCTACAAATTTCAACCCAGCAACCTGTCAGCATTCAGTCCTTCCCAGACCTGCTAATTCAGGAGACTGGCAGGATCAGACATCCCAACCTGGACTCACTTCACCTCATGCTTTGGTATTTGGATGGGTGTCAGACCTAGAGCCTTCATGTTCAGAGGCCATTCAAACTGTTCTTAATCACAGCAGGAAAGATTCTACCAGAAAATGTTAACTAGTCAAATTGAGGCATTTCTCTACCAGGGCGCCTCAGTTATCAGGACCAACAGGTATTCCTGCTGCCTTAGACTTACCTCCTCACTCTCACTCGGGTCTTTCTAGTAGCTCTCTACAGGTCCACCTAGCAGCAATCAGTGTTCCACCTTCTGGTGGATAGCTATTCTGTTGTTCACCTAGTAATAACCAGTTTTGTAAGTGGTCTGACTAGGACCTTCCCACTAGTAGCGAAGCCAACGCCACAGTGAGACCTTAATCCTCCTACTGGCCACCTTTTGAACCATTCGCCATGTGCTCAATGTCTCATTTATCCATGAAGGCCGTCTTCTTGGTTGCCATTACATTTGCCAGGAAGGTGGGTGAAGGAAAAGCCTTTGTGGCAGACTCACCATATGCTACATTTCATAAAGAGACGGTACCCCTTCACTCCACCCAAAGTTCATTGCAAAGGTATCTTCCAAGTTCCACATAAGCCAATCAGTTCACTTACTGTGCACTTATTCACTCCAGGTTCTTTTCAGAGCCTCCTGCCTCCATCCAGCAAGAAGAGGAAACTTCACTCTGTCGGTGTCAGATGAGCATTGCCATTCTACCTGCAAAGGATGAAACCATTTAGAAAATCTCCTAGACTATTTGTCGCTATAGTAGAGCAAGCATGGGGACAAACGATATGTGCTCAGGCTCTCTAAGTGGATTCCTGGCTATATCCTCCTTTGCTATCCGTTAGTGTATTTCCCTCCCCCGGATGGGGTGAGGGCTCATTCTGCTAGAGCACTGGCAACCTCAGTAGCATCTCTTCAGGAAGTACCTGTGCTGGACACTTGTAAGATGGCAACCTGGAGCACTATCTGTACTTTCATGAAGCCCTATGCTTTAGTCCACGTCTCTTCTGTCAGCACAGCCTTTGGAATTGCAGTGTTGGATCTGTACCACCTGCATCCTTCCTTCCCCCCCCTCCATTTGATCACTGCTTGACATTCACCCATATGTGAATGCACACCGGGATTAGAACTCAGAGTAGGAATGGAGGTTACTTAGCTGCAACTGGAGATTCTTTGAGATGTGTGGTCTGAATCTGAATTCTACTACCCAACTACCTTCCCCTCTGGTTTTCCTCATGACTGGATTTGCGGTAGAGAAGTGGTCAGTCTGCATCTCCCCTTACATTCTCGGTACTGAACACAAGGAGATCCAGGGCACAGGCACGGACAAACAGACAATACTTGCAAGAATTTCCAGTCTCAGTCACGTAGTCCACATGCATATCCCGCCTATGAAATACACATTGGGATCACACATCTGAAAGAAATTCCAGTTACAAATAAGTAACCTCCATTTTCTGTAACTTACAATTTGGGTTCCTATATTCCTTGGGCAATATTGGCTCTGAGCTTGCAATGTTACCACTCTAAATTTGGAATCCTTTACCCATTAGTGATGGCATGAGGCCATCCTGAAATGGCTTTTTAGAAGTACAATACGATACTCCTTGGCACAGTGTGAAGCTGCTTGCTTATTCCTGGTGTCAAGTGTTTTATTTTTGATGCTCTCAGGAAGCTAACTCAGCTGTTCTGTTTTTAATATCTGATGAATTAGGGAACAGATCCTGCGTGTGAAGGCTGAAGAGGACAAAATCCCTTTGCTTGTGGTGGGAAATAAATCTGACCTGGAGGAGCGGAGGCAGGTGCCTGTAGAGGAGGCCAGAAGTAAAGCAGAGGAGTGGGGTGTGCAGTACGTAGAAACTTCTGCCAAAACTAGAGCAAATGTAGATAAGGTAAGGCAACTAGCTTAAATTTTTACTGCAGTAGAATCTCAGTCATTCAGTACTGAGAATGACTGACTAATTCTTACTACTTTCTGGGACAGGCACAATTCATGGTTGGGTTTTTGTTCCTCTTACAATAGTCTACACTTGTAACGTTTGAATGTTTCAGTTAATGAATATCTTGCAAATTAAAGCGAACATTTGGTTTTTGTTGCCGTCTATGTAACATGTCAAGAAGATCCCATTAATTTACTTTATTATAGATACAAATGTGGTGAGTCCTTGTACAATGGCAAACTTTCAGATGATGGTTTGAAGTATAGTAGATTTATTAGCTCCGAGAATTCACTAAAGTGCAGGGTTTGATTTAAATTATAGCTTGAAATGCTTAGTAGTGATATATATTAACTGTAGTTCAGCCCATCATAAAATGAGGATAATTAAAATGAGGATAATTTCAGCACTTCTGAATTTTGGTTCTTCCCTCTTTTGTCTCCTCAATTCACATGTGGTGCAGCTGATATTTTGTTAAATATCTGCCAAAACACTGACTAACTCTGTTCTTTGCTTTCTGATTATTGAGATTATCTTCAGTTTTTCTGAAAAACGGATATACATTTTTTACTTCATACCTATCCTGTAACGTGATTTCCCCACACCCTCCATACCTGCCTTTCCGAAAACTCAGTATTCTCCAGCTTGATGTCACTCGTAGTGTTTTTGGATTGAAATTGCTTTTTAATTTCTGAACAGATGGATTCTCATAACCCTTCTAGCAAGTGAACATACATATGTGCTTCCTGAAGTGTCTTGGATATCGGGATTCTCTTCCTTTTTCTGTGGGGGTTATGAAAATGCGCATCCCCTTACACATCCACAGAAGATGACTTGCAATGCTGGGAGAAGTTTGAACAAATATAATAAAGGACCCTTAGTGGATCCATAGTGTTTGAATTTTAGTTGAATTGCTTACAATCTACAGTCTGAAAACAAATCTTCTATGGCTCTTCTTCTAGGGGTGAACGTTTTGAAGCTTAACTGTACCTGAGGGCTGGTTTTGACTTTTATGTTCAGTAAACTGCTTCCTGTTCAGTCTGTTAGAAAGTCCATATAAATCATGAGGCATATTCACTGTGGCAGCATCTGTACTATAGCTTTTTAGACTAAATTAACATTCCCATCCAAATACATATACACTCGCTAGGTAATATTTTCAGATTTCTTGATGAGCAAGCTAAAATAATCCATATCTTCCTAGTTTGGCTTAACAATGGTCTAGTTATCAAGGTGGCAGCACAGTTAGAGCCTGGGAAGGCAAGCCAAGAAATCTGGATTCTAAGACCAGCTCTGACTTGCAGCATGACTTGTGTGTTTCAGTTTTCTAATCTGGAAAATGAGAGAGTTAATATCGCAGATTTTAAGCAGTTTGGGTCAGACACTTGTCTATGTTTGGAAAGTGCCTAGCACACTGTACTTGCCTTGTAAATTCACCCTGGATCTTAATTTTTAAGTCTTAACTTTCTCCAAACATGTTATTGATATCTTTCAGCATCTGTATAGTCTGAAAATAGGCATGTGTTGGCCATGTTACTTGTTACTACACTCTATCTAGACGGAAAATGACATCTGTGCAGACAACCCAAATCTAATCCCTCCCAAATCCATTCAAATTAGGGGCACTCCTGCAGCAGCAGTGGCTTAAATCTAAACAGTTTTATATTTGCCACATAAAGAACATCTTTGAAATGTGTCCGTGGCAACACATGTGCAGGTTAGGAATCGCTAGGTCTTATTTTACATCTCCTCGTCTGGAGCAATGTGAAGCATTTTCTTCTTCTTTTAGGAAAGACCTTGTACTTGTGCTTTCCAGATGCAGTATCTGAAGGCCTCGTTTTTGCTATGTCTCAATTACTTTGTTCCTTGTCTATTAAATCCAATAAAATATCTACTTCTTGGAAGTACAAGAGCTACCTGTTACACAAATCTTAACTCTTAAGGATTATTCCAGTAGACTTCTATAATCCTGAGAATTCCATTTTCCTAGCCATAAGCAGTAGACTAGTCATAGACCAGCTTTTAACAGTTCAGCTGGTAATTTTGTCCATCTAAACATTGAAATTGAGTAAAATTACACTTTTGTTAAAAAGCATATTCTTGTGTGTCTAGAATTTTTTGTACACAGTGGAGATAAAAACCCAAGTTTGACTCTGGCAATCTTTTAAAATGTTGTTTTTTCCCTTCTGTGTTCTGATTTTAGTTGAGGAAGGATGTTTTTTTCCGGATACCATATGGACTTAGCCTTAGGGCTTGGGAGAAGTGGATTCTACTTGACATGTGACCTTTGTTTATTCACTTAAATTCTCTGCACCTAAGTTCTTCCTTCCATAAAATAAGGTTAATATTTCCTGATGATGTTGTATTAATTCATTAATGTGTTGAAGGTGCTATACCAAGGCTTTTATTGTCTCCTGGTTTCATTTTTCATGAGTTAATTGTAAACGTTCTCCTATGATTGTATAAATCTCATAGATCCCTATAAAAACCCTGCATGCCACTGCATATTGCTTTGCTACAATTAATAGTGATACTCATTAAAAAAGGCTTTTATCATTTTGAAACAGGCTGCCGAATGACTTAGTAGCTAGGTAAGTCCTTCTCCCTTCCCCTGATTCATTTACTGCATAAACACAGGTGTTGAATTTGTAGCATTGGGATCTATGTTTAGACGACTCATTTTTATTTTGTTAGGTGCTTTGTTCTTGTGTTACATTTTTGTTTGCCAAATACTCTAGTTTATACATCAATATACCAATTTATTTTCTGCTGGCAGAACTGTTGTTTTAATCTCCCATATGTTTAACTTTCCAGGTATTCTTTGATCTAATGAGGGAAATCAGAGCAAAGAAAATGTCAGAAAACAAAGACAAGAATGGGAAGAAAAGTGGCAAGAACAAGAAAAGTTTTAAAGAAAGATGTTGTTTACTGTGATCCTTAGGACCTGTAAATATCTACAGATGGAATGAATAAGACTTACTACTAAGGATATAGGGCTGGATTCATGAAAGGAAATTTGTATTGATTCCCTTATGATATTTGTATTCACTTACCGCCTTTTTAAAATGAAAAAATGTAATTTGTGAACCATTAGTCAACTGAAATATGAGCCCATGTACACTGAAATGGACTCACCTTGCCAGCAACTTTCAAAGCTAGAATTTTACCAGCAAATATGGTTCTTTGGGCATTTTATTTCTGTCTGATTGCAGGAAATAATCTCATGTCAATTTCAAAGTAGTAGCTTCTTGCTATCTTCTCAAATCTGATCTCCCCCACCCACCCAAAAAAAAAAAAAAAAAACACAAACAAAACACACACACAACTGTAGTGGCCTCACCAAACATCTCTGGTTGTCTTTTAAGTTCAACCACATTTTTCAGTGTCTGTGCACTCACTGAATTTAAGTCATTTTTGTATTAATAATAATTCTAGACAAACCAATATCTGGCAAGACTTTGAGGTTTTCATAGTCTTTAAGTGACTGTTGATATTTTCTCAGACTGTTAGAAGTCTACTTAGATGCCAACATTTGAAGATTTGGGAGTTGTTACTCAAAAGCAAATTAGTTGTGTCTGTTCTATTATTAGTCAACGCAGTATTCATGAATCAAGCCTACTGACTGAAATCGGACTTTGTTTGGTAATGCAATATTTAGTATTTAAATACTGGTTAGTTGTATTCCCAATTGGCTTGTTTCCTCTTCTTTTTTTTAAAAGCAAAAAACAATTATTTTTTGGGTGGGGAACTGACCTAAAACAATACTGTTTATTTTTTTTAGAAAGGAAACAGATTGGCACTGATTTAAAAAAAACACAAAATTTGTATTATTCTGTATTGAGTCTAGACTCATACAACTGCTTCTATTTCATCTGCTCTTCACTCCCCTTCCTCAAAATCATTATCTTAACTGTTTAAAGTGCAGATTGTCTATTTTGTAATACATGTATTCATGCCATGGAGATGTGAAAACTGCACCTCTGCTTTCCATTTTGTTTAAGATAAACTTTTTTTTCTTTTTGAGAAAGGACATAGGCCACTGATCGCAAAACTATGCGAGTGGAACCAGTGTGAGGCTTTTGTGCTACCTCGCAACTTGACACAGTTACTTGGCTAGTAAGTAAGTTGCTAAATGTCAGAAACAAAGCTGAACTAAAGTTAGGCAACTGTTATTACGGCTATTTGCTGTTAATTTTTACTGTACTATTCTTCTGCACATTTATTTAAAATAGGAGACGTTTTTGCTGAGTTTTGCTGTCAAAGCTACAGTTGAACTTACAGTCCTGAATGATCAGCTACATTCAAATAGAAATTGGGGAAATATATGGGAAACATCAGTATTTAGCAGTTCTTGTCTCTGTGTCAGATGTATTTCACTTAAATACCTTTTTCAACTTAATGGTGTCAATCAAGTACCGTTGCCAAAAATATGTATTTCCATCTTGTTGCTGTAGCAGAGATTGTCAACCTTTATAATTACCCTGCTTCTGGAATACATTTTGTACAGTTTCCCAATGAATCATAGAAAAACTCCCTTTTGAATTTTAAAAAAGTAGACAAATATATTATCTGAAAACTAATCATTTTTCAACTTGTCATCTGATTTGTGACTTCAAATACAGCTACAATGAGAAAGGAATAAGATGTAGAAAGGAGTAGTGTAGTGAAGGGTGTTTAAGTGCTAAACAAACCAGTATTGTTAGCTCAATCTTTAAATGGGTGGGAGCAGTGCAGAGGCAGGAAGGGCTTAATTCAAAATTTAATCAAGTATCTAGGCTTGGCAGAATTTTTTTATAATTTTGACAGATCAATTATTCTTAAGCATTGTTTTTTATTTTTATCGATTTTAAATTTTTGCAGTTTATGGGGAGGGGGTCAGGCACTAGCAGTTTAGTGACACCGATTCAAAAAAAGTTAGTTTTTTTTAACCAGACGACACAAATTGTCAACATCACGTTAAAATTTACAAAATAAATATCCTTATGTCACATTCTAATAAGTTCTCAAGCAGCATTTTTTTTGTCTGCCTCTCTGTAAATGTTGATGATCATCAATGGAAATATTTTTTCATTTGTTTGTGCTTGTGTCGGGACATCAGCATTTACTAATAAAAATCAAATTCTTCCAAGCCTGAACATAAGAATGTTTCGGTAATCCTAGATATTAGTTATCAAATGTGCTAGATTGCTGCTCTACTGCATTCCACTTAAAGATTTGAAAAGGAAAACAAAGTTCAGTATGCAGTGGATCTTAGGAGGCTGAGGTCCTGCATGGACTTCTGAGTTTCCTATCCCATTAATTCATTGTCTTCCACATCTTGATTTTACTTCTTGTCAAGCGACGTATCGGAGTGGGAGAATCATGTATTAAATCAAGGTTGCTGTAATCCGTTTTATTGTCAGGTTAAATTCATATATATATTTTTAGGCTGACCATTTTTTCTAGCCATAAAAGTTTGAAAATGTTAGCCTTTAGAATTGGACAGTAAGGGTAGAATGGCATTACAAAGCTAGCTTGATTATAGAGCATAGAAACATGAAAACGTAGGAGCCATTTGGCTCTTAAACAACAACAACCTTGTTTACCGATATTTTATCTAACCCCTGTGCAAGAGCACTGGGTGCAGTTAGATATTACATAACTAAAGGGATGCAGTTGGGTGAGATGTTTATAACATTTCTTTATAGTGTCACTCAGTGCGTTAATGCTTAAACTTTTCATTTTTAATAGTCTGACTTTTTCATTGACTGTCCACTCTTTGCATTTCTTGATCTGAAAAATGGATATAGGCTAGTCCAGTTTTACTTCTGTTCATAGTCTCTCCATACAAGTCCCTTTCCAATTCTCATAGGTAAGCACAATGCTTCTGTGTTTGTACTGAAAATACAGCAGGTAAATCTTCGTTCTTGGAATAAACTGTTCTCACTGGAGTTTTAGAAAGATTGATGCGAACACTGGTATTGGTAAGCTGTTTAAGTAACTTATGTATTTTTGGTCCAAATCTCTCTTCCTAACCTCACTTTAAAATCTTAGCTGTACTTAGACTTATAAGAATGTATCATGCTGACCTCTGGTTTTCTTGAATAGCATTGAGAGTAAAACAAGCACATAAAATATGCCTAATCAAGGTTTACTGGAGTGTAAGATTTAATTAAAAAGTGATTTAAGTTGTCCACAAATCAGAGTGCACTGGGCAAGGGTCTGAAACAGGAAGCTCACTTAGAACTGATGTAGAAACGAGTATGTATGTTGAGCTAATACCCAAAGATCCCATTAATCTTTTTAGAAATTTTGCAGTATTTGATAGGAGAGACTTTTAAAAACAAAACAGATGAATTGTTATTGCACAAGGCATACCTGTGTGTGTTGTAATCCCCCATCAGACTCACTGGGGAGAGTAGCAGCACTTATTCTTAACGTAGAATGAGGACAGTGCTCTCCAGGTGACTTTCAACAGTAGTAAGAAATGATTGTCCTTTTGAGTTAGACTTGCTTGTGAGGAAGATGCTTAGCAGTTTTATATTCTTTACTCACTACTCATTAACGCTTTTTTCTAAACATCACAGCATTTGCATCAGTGGGGCAGAAGGCTTGAGAGCACATTCGGTTAGAGCTTTCAATGTGTTCTCTCTTTTCCAAAACCAAAAAGTAACTTAAGAACTTGATACGGCAGCTTTTCCGTTTTACCTTTCAGTTATGACAAATGCAGAAAAGAGAACTTTCGTGGAAGTCTTTTCTCAGTTCAGTGGCTGTGAACAAGGTAGCTACCTTGGTTCAAACAAAATTTCATAAGTGAGCAACATTTCTCTTCAGAAATACTTGTGTGAAGAACTACTAGTCTGATTTTAATATACCAGCCAGGCAATAAACTGTACCCCTGGCCTGGAAGTTGCGTGGAGGTGATGCATTCAAACCCTTGTCTTGGGAAGTGCCTTACACTTCAGCTGTTCTCTGCAAGCAGAGGGAGTACCAGCATGGCCTCAACTTTTTTCCTTTTCTGTTTGGCTGGAGGTACATTGACTCAACAGGGGATTGTTGAGACTGCAGTAGTAATTTAGGGGTGGAGGAAAGAAATATGGCTTCTTGTAATGGGGCTTTAAGAAGGGGCTGAAGGAAACTAATTTCTGAACTGTTCCTAGTCTAGATGGGCAATCATAATTCAAGTGGGGAAAGTGAAGAGAACTTGGTAGGCTAGCAAACAAGTGTGTCCTCCTACCTGTGTGAATTAAAGCAATTGAAGGTTATACACCTGCAGGTTTTGAAGGTCAGGTTTAAGCAGGGTTGGGATCACAGAAAAAACTCCCATCAGATTAGAATGGCAGAGCTTTCCAGTGATTATCTGCTCTCCTTAAAATATGGATGCATAGAACAAGTATTTATGAAATCGATAGGAGCCTGATAGTCAAGCAGGACTAGAATGCCAGAAGAACTTGAGTATATTACTATTGGAAAATGTGATTTAAATATTAAAATTGGGGGGGGGGGTAACTCAATGGCATGTGAATGGGAAATACACAATCTTTCCTTTGCTGGTGGTCCCAATACAGTCCACTTCAATAGAGAATGTGGTTACACTCTGAAGGCTGTCTACCATGTCAGAGGTTTCATTTCTAGTCTGTGTAGACAGTTATCCACGAGGCAACCCACCAGCATCCTTGGATCCTGTCTCTGAAAGGTGCCAAGAATTAAATGTGTATGGAAACTGACCTGACCCCTCATCCTTGGAAGGGGTCTCTCCAGGTCAGGTTGAGATACATTGATAAGACAGTGTGGAGAGAAGCTTTCACTGTTGCTGTCCATTACATACTTGTTCTGTGGATGGATGTATATCAGATATGTTAATCCAACATATGAGAGAGCCCTGGATAAATTCACATAGGGTTTGTTTGAGTCTGTGGGAAGAAGCACATCTATGTATTTACTGGGCATTATATGTTGGAATGACTTCAATGGCAGCCAATTAAAGTTCCAATTCTAGCCTGTAAAGCTGTTTGCTATGCATTTTAGAATAGAATCAAATTAAAATAACCTTGGATATTAAAATTACAAAACATGAATCTTTTTTTCAAATGTAATAAAGGTTAATTCCTCGTCATACCAAACTACACAACACACCATCATGTCAAATCTATTGTGAAAAGAAAGTTTAACAAAATTATGAGTTAGTGGTTTTGACAAGAGCCAATAGAATTACATTACACTACCTAATGTTCTCCCCCTCACCCCCCAAATGAATGGCTATCCAACACATTAAAGCGGTGAGGAAAGTGGGTTTGTTTGGTTTTTTATAATAGCAATTGATTTATGGGACTCGATTC